AGTAAGTTGAACCGAGATTAAAGTTAATCTACGTTGGTGGAATCGGGCATTATAGTATTAATTTCTAAATAACAATATTTATTCTATTTTGTAATATTTATATACAATAAGATTACTCACACTTATCGTTCACCGCAAGGGATGCAGTAGTTCAAGCAAAGCTCGGTTTGTGTGACGACAAGACGTCGCTTTTACACACGTCGACTTTGAGGATCACTTTTCGCAATTATTTTTGTGCGCCCGCAAGAAAAAATCTGGCCAATAAACACGACGAAAAAGTCGAACGAAAAAATGAAGCTGTCGTAATGTTTTTCACTTTGAAATTCAAGTAGAAAATTTCAAAAAACGGAGTTGAAATAGGATGTCACATTCGCCGGTATACTTTCTCGGCGCGAGCCGCAACTGCTGTCGATACAGTCTCCCTCTTTCTCAATTGTATATTAGTGCGTACAAGGCTTGTGCAGTCCTTTTTATACTTTCCTTCACTCGGGAGTAATCCCCCGACCAGACGACCCTCCTCTTCGGTCCAGTGCAGCCTCCGGCTATAGTGATCATACGTGTTTTACTGTCTGTGATATATTGATAACGTAAGCAATTTGAATGCATTAAATGATACGAATATTATATTAAATATTGACTATCTTCCATAAGAGATTAAATCACTCAAAACTAGATTTTCTTTTACTATTTAAAAAAATTTTTTGACATTAAAAAAATTAAATAAAAAATATGTCACTTATTCTGTTTCTTAAATTACGAGCAACTATCGTGTGTGTCAATTGGATGAAAAAAAATTGAATACGCTTTTTCTTATCGTTCTATTTTATCATTGAGAAATCAGATTCTTACCGTTGAAATGATTAGACTGTCGAATAAATTAGAAAAAAAAACGGAGACTGCTCGTAAGCAAATTTATCAATATAGACACATATGGTAACGTTAAAAAAATTTTCTGAGTTAATAGAGTAACGTAAAATCTACATTTTAGTCATAAAACAAATATCATTTACCTTTTTTCTCTTTTTATGTTGATTTGTGAACATGTGTGAGAAAAAATATTAGTTGTATTTACAATAATAAGAATTATTAACGTCAAAATTTAATGAGCAATTAAATTTTTAACATTATTACAATATCATGTATGTTGTTAGATTAGATCGATAGCGACGGAAGGATTCGGCAAAGGCACGCAAAGGTTCAATCATTGCAGTCTCTGTAGCACTAAAATTGATTCAAGATAATATCTATTCCAATGATTATTAAATCAAATCTTTAAAATCTCTTATATTAAATCGATAATTTAAAAGAAAAAATAAGCTATTAAAGTCGAAGCTAGGTAATGTTGTTCAGTAATTTATTTTATTTCAAATCTACAAACGTTTCGACCTATTTGTTTTTTGATCATCCTTAATGTCTAATAATTATTCTTTTTTTGCAGTGTAACATTTTATCTTTGTTTAACGTTTTATCTTTGAATATTAAAATCTTTCGTTTTTTGTTTCTTATTATCTATATAATTTGTATCTAAAAAACTTAATGTCGGAAGTCTTACGTTTGATCGTCATTGTGTTAAAATATAATTTATTATCGTCGTTAACTTTAAAACGTGTAACCAATTCTTAACTGACATTATCGACAATGTCAGCTTACGATATAAGCAGTTAAGAATTGGTTACACGTTTTAAAGTTAACGACAATAGTAAATTATATTTTAAAACACGGTGACGATCAAACATAAGACTTCCGACATCAAGATTTTAGATACAAATTGTATGGATAATAAGAAACAAAAAACAAAAGATTTTAATATTCAAAGACGAAATGTTATACTGCAAGGAATGAATAATTATTAGACACTGAGGATAACCAAAAAACGAATAGGTCGAAACATTTGTGGATTTGTTTTGAAATAAAATAAATTGCTGAGCAACATTATCTAGCTCCGGCTTTAGCTTATTTTTCCTTTTAAACCATCTATTCTTTGGGAATTGCAATATTGTAGTGTAGAGCAAAATTTTGTTAGAATTTCAGATGTTTGAAGAAATCAAGTGATAAAATTACGCCACAGTCACAGTTGTTCGCAGTTATTCGTCTTGACGACTTTAATTTTATTTCACAATGTAGACCTTTTACACACATCTTTTTAACGGTTTCATAGTATGACAATCAAACTGTTTTATATTGCCTGAGTTACTGAAAATGATCAAATTACTGATCGAAACGTTTAACGAATTTTTGGTTTTTTTTATATGAAGATTGTTAACACACTAATGTGTTAACTAACTAATGTGTAAACTAACTAACAAGAAAATTGTAATAATTAGCGAATAACAACCAGCGTTTTAAGCACGAATAGTCTCGTTTCTTATATTTGTTATTATTTCGTGCTTTATCTATCCTTCACTTTTGTTACGCCATTTTATTATTCCACAGAAATCATGTAGATTACATTGAATGACCGATAAATTTGAGAAAAATTTATGTTATGGGTTATGCAACAGTGTGATAAAAAATTGTTTGATTTATCTATAAATAAAAGTGCAGAAAGTCATGACATTTTTAATTGTTTTAATGATAAAATTCCCATAAACTCATGACTGATATTTACTTATCGCGATATTCTTTCAATATATTTGCGATAAGGAAATGTAAATCTCACAATTGTTTTGGCTTTTAACTTTCCGATCTCTCAGAGTCGCAAAAAGTTTCTAGACAAGTTTAAGTGTTTATTACATTATATTTTTCTTCGAAGTTTGACTAAAAAGTTTGTCGTCAAAATATAATGTAATAGATATAAAATATCTTGTAATATGGATAATATGGTAGTATAGAACTATATAAAACTTTTCAAATAAATAAATTGAAAATTTCAAACCGAGAATAGTTTTGAAAGAGTATTCTACAGTATTTTTTTACGGAAATATACATATAAATTGATCTTATTAGATTGATTTTTGAATCTTGATCTTTACAATAATGATGACACACTAATGCCCATTTCCACCAATGTAGATTAACTTTAATTTCGGTTTAACTTACTCTTCATCTTTTTCTAGTTCTAAGAATTAGAAAAAGGTGAAGAGTAAGTTGAACCGAGATTAAAGTTACGTTCTACATTGGTGGAATCGGGCATAAGTGTGAGAATCTCAAAAACTGATTTTTCTCGAGAAAAAATGGTATAATTGGTTAGATGTAAATATATATAATTAGTTATGAAAAGATCTGAATTTTAAATGATCATATAAAATTACATATGTTATTAGATCTTTTCATAACTAATTATATTGTATATTATCATATTACACCATTTTTTCTCGGGTTCTTCTTATAATATATTCTTGGAATTGGTAGTGGTCAAACGATCTGGAGGATGTACTTCTCGCACTTCATTTCTCTCTCTCTCTCTCTCTCTCTCTCTCTCTCTCTCTCTCAGGAAAAAAACACGTATACGAGCGGATACCGTATTTTTACTTTTAAATTAAAATCTTAAAATTAAGGTCTTAACGGTCTTTTTAACAACCGAAAATTTGCACGGAATTGCTTTATATAGCGGTTTAAAATTGAATTATTGATGTAAAAAAAAATAAGGTTAAAGGATGCTTCTGAATATGTTATAACAGATTTGAAAAAACTGGATTGAGGAAATTAGATGCGCAATTTTAATATGCATGTTTATATACATTTTTTCTTCGTATTTTTTATAAGCATATTTTTTTAACGACAACAAAGATTTAACGAATTTAGTTCGACGAGAAAAAACACTTGTTACTTGTCAAAATATATTTGATAGAACAGACGGCATGTTACTTATAGCAGAAATATCATGTAGTCAAGTAAGAACGATTACATAAATCATAACTATGAAACAACAAGCAGACCAATTATTATCGAATGTAAGATCCAGAAGGCAGCATACTTTTATGTGATGCAATAATACTTACGTCAAAACGACCGTATCTTCCAGTATCAGCAAATAGATTTATTATGTTTGCATCATATTAAAAAGCTATCTTTTAGCTTTGATAATATTAAACATTAATTTTTAATTTTTGCATTTTTATAATATAAATAATTTTTAGAGTATAAATATACCATCGATAAATATGTATCTTTAGATAATGTTAAGTAAATTTAATATTACCCAAAAATATCGTAGAGTAGTTAGAACTTTTCATTGAATACAGATAAAATCAGTAAAAATTGATGAATTTATTGTAACAAAGCCTATTCATCTTTTTTATTTTCTTTTAAACTTTTGGTTTTTATATTGCATATTTTATATTACTTTTGTTTTTTATATTGCATTTATTTCATTTAAATATAATTGTTTTGTAGCATTTTGTAATGAACAAATATGACGAGAAAAATGTTTCAACAAATTTCTTGAAATTTGCTATAATATCTATGCCCATAGCTTTTAACTATTACATTTGGACATTATGACGCCGTATTCTATCAATTATTTCTTAAGTATACACTTAGCATTTGAATGACGTGACTAGTGGTTCTATAGGTAACTCACCACGTGCAATCGTTTTTGTGTTAGATATCTACGCAAATCGCTAGTCCAACCGGCTATTCAGCAAGAGCTACCTCTCTATAATGCGTTACAGTTGATTATGGGAGCATTACTCGTTTTAAAGAAGTGATAGACAGTTATTTCTTGCCATTTTGTATCATAATTTGACTGCCCAATTAAACTAGTGTGCTACTTGAAGTGATATCGTTTTATAATATCGTAATACTACGTGAGAATAAAATTATTTTTCTTTGCACTTATGATAACATCCGGGTACCACTACAAGAATATTTGTATATTGCTTATCATTATTAGTTTATCATATATTATTTTATGTTAAATTTTTAAAATTAATTTTTATTATAAAATATAAAAAGCTAAGTTAATAAATTCTCATTAGAATACTTATTCGATGCATTTTCATTATCATATTTTTTTATTAGAAAAACATGTATATTCTTAAATATGTAAAGTAAATTGTAATAGAAGAAAGGAAATAACAAGAAAAATGAAGAAGATTAATAGTCTAATATATCAATTTTTTTAAAGATTTAATCTATTCAATCTCTATTTGAAGTAACGTTTGGTGATGCCGATGATTGTTTGAAGTTCTTAAAAAAAATCTTGACACTCTCTGAGTGTTTTCGAAGAAAAATTCTGTTAGTGCTAAGCCAAGCAGATTTTCTGAACAAATTGTTGTAACAAATTCACTTCAATGCAAAAATACTTTGTTGAATGATAAATGATATATTTACAAAAATACATAAATTAAATGATAAATGTTTATATCGACAAATTTTATCTTTATTTCGAATATGTGTGTATGTATTTATGCGCAATAACCCTGTTTTTGCTTATACTATGTCTTTTCCGTTTGTGCATAATCAAATTTTTGTAGACGATAAATAGCAAGATAAACTTTGAACGATTTTTTTTCTTCTACTATACACGTACTGATACATATACATGGGCGTAGTCAGAGGGGGGCAAATAGGGTGTTAAATTTCCGAAATTTCTTATTTGTTAAATTATTATGCATTATTACAACAATGAGAAACATATTACTATTATTATCAAGTTAACAAGATCTGAAAATAATTTTATCATATTTATCATTAAAAAAATAATTGCTTTGAAAATTTATATAAGAAATCTCGAATATAATTACTTCGAAATCATGCAATAAGTCCCAAAGATAATCGCACAATCACATGGATTTGATATGCACGTGTCATTTAGTTTTATTTCTTTTTACATGACTCTTAATGAATATTCTTAAATGCATTTATGTGTCGCACGAATAGATTTAATAAAACGAAAAAGTAAATTTTGCATTATAGTGTTTAGTTTTTTTAAAATTTAAATAAAATTTTGCTCTTGGTAAATAACAGAACTATGCACAGAAAGAACACTTTTGCTGATAGATCTAAAAATTATACTAGCTATAGATTTAAAAATAAATTTTGTTGGACATTCAAAGTTATCAATAGAGCATTACATCCTTTTTATATTGCAGCAAAAAGTTTCGAGTGCTCTATTGATAAATTTTGAATGTCCAACAAAATTTTTAGATCTATATCTAGCACAATATTTAGATCTTTTAGCAATAGTGTTATTTCCGTGTGCGTTCTCAAAATCAGTAAAAAATATGCAAATTATGAATTGCATAGATATTTCTTTTCTACTCATAAAACTAAATATTATTATATTGATCTTCTAAATCAGATATTGATTCTAAAAAATCTTAACTTTTAGTTTTTTCTTATATTATTATATATTATTTCAAAAGCAATTTGAAAACAAGTTTGCAAAACAATTTTGTGAACAAGAGATAATACAATAGTATACAATACAAGATATTTCTGTATGAGTGGCGCTCTCTTTTACATCAATCTGAAAGAGTCTACAGCAGATAAGAAAGTAAAATGTAAAAAAGAATTTATATAATGAAATGCATTAAATACATTATTAATTAATTGTGGCAATTCTACGAATTTCTTAAAACTAATGTAAGAGTTACTTTAGATAATGAATAAGTATATAATATATATAAGATCTAATATTCTTTTGTTGTCAAATTGAATATATTGCTAACTAGTTTTGATGAAACTACAAATCTTTTAAAGATAATTTAACATTTGCAATTAAATTGTCTATAATTTTGCAGAAAATATAAAATTAAATATATACATATTCTATTATACTAGCACAACATATAAATGCTAAAGTAGCAAGAGCAACAATTTTATCGATGATCGAAAAATCAGAAAGTATTCATTTATACTTAGTTACCGCGAAAGTATATAAATCCACTTTAAATGATTTTTTTCTGCAAAAAATTAAAATAATATAATAAAATGTGAATTTTCTTGAAAATAAACCAGTATTATATTAAAAATCTAAGACAAAAGAATTTGTTATTCCAGTATATTTAAGGATGTTTAGTACCTATTTTTGAAGTATTAGGAATTTAACAATAATTTTACAGATTGTTCTCACATATGTTCGGAGACTTGTAAAAAAATTCGGAATCAATTCACTGAAATAATCAAAAGTTATAAAGATTTTAATTTACAACGAATTTATCCGTGACTTTATAAAAAACTTGTGATTGCGTTGATTCAAGTGGCTAAAATGGATAAAAAGAATGATAGAAATTAGTTTAAAATTTGAAAAAGTATACTAGATATAGAAGAAATATTTGATTAAATAATTTTTGACTAAGTATGAATGGTTCAAAAGATATCGAATATAATTCGATCAAAATTATTAAATTTTTTAATAAAATAGTTGAAAAATTTCTATATTTTGTGATTATTCACTGTTTCAATTTTTATTCTGACATTTTAAACCACTCTGAAATTCTACACGAATAAATTATTTTATCTTTATAAATAAAATTTCGAGATTGATATCGTCACTGCCAAAAGTTTCTCATTATAATTCAGAAAATTTAAAAATTCTCAGAATAAAAGCAACAGAAATTCAAAAGAACATTCTGCAATCTAATTATGAACAAATGATAAGATTCTCTGCGCAATCTTTATTACTCAAACTATATAAGAAGAGCATATTTAAATATATTCGTTAAAATCGAATTTCTACTACTACTTTTTGCTACGATTGTACGTACAAAAAATATCCTTAAGGGGACTAGGCAGTCAAATCGCTTAAAAATCAAGATTCTTTTTATGGGTCAATTGCAAAGAAATAAAAACAAATCCAGATTTACCCTTTTACCCAATGTTTATTGTTATCATACAGATTGAAAAAAAATTGGTATTAGATATATTTAACAAATGGCGTGACAAAGAGACGACCATATAAAAATTTCAAAAAATTTTGATTTACTCTTGTAGCGATACAGAGTTTAAAAAGTGATATATCGACATTTTTTGCTGGATATTGTTCGTCAGACTCGTAATTTCCAGCCAAACCTAAAAAAAAAACAAATCGGAACAAAATTATTAAAATGACGGTCAAAAAACGGCGATTTTTTCGAAAAAAATAATTTTTTATAACGAAAAAACGCGACTTTTAAATTTTTTGAAAAACTCGAATTTTTACAGACTGTATCGGAGGTTTCGCGGAAAATGACACATGTTTTATACATCCTAGAATTTTTTTAAATTGATCTGAACTTTCGTCTATTCGTAATCACGGCAAACCCCCCCAAAAAAAGTCGAGAAAAACGCATTCACAGTTTTGAAAGATTTCAAAGTACCGTTACTAATACGCACCTCAAATCCGTACGCCGCTCGATCTTTTTGGCTGCCAAATCGGTAATTTTGTGATTTTCGACATCTACCAAGCGGCACTTTATTCAGAAAGGATAGTACTCAAAAAATGCAATAAAAGAAATCGATTTTTTGACTGTCTAGTCCCCTTAAAAAGGTATAGGTCAAAAGAAAAATCTACATGGCTAAAATAGCTGAATAATTTATTACAAATAAAGTCATATAAAATGCAAAATACCTTCAATTATGTATCGAATAACTTTATCGCGACTTTAGGTTAAAAGATCGTGAACACCAAATATACATAGATGTATATGCATAAGGTATTCTTGTAAAGTCATCAGTTATTAAAACGCAAGCGTAGTTTCCTTGATTTTTTTCTCCTAAACAAATACTCTTCGTTTCTTTTTATATTCACATTCGTTGATATTCACATTCAATGGTAATGAAGTGTTTCTCCTTCTCCTTTTTTTCTTGCCCACTTCCTCTTCTTTATTTATCTTCATACTCATACATTTCCTTATTTCAGTTGAAGCGCTGTAGTCGTCACATTTACCACGATCGCGTATTGTGCTCTATCATAAATAATTTGTTCATTTTTGTCGATTTTCCACAGTATTTCGACAAAAAGCAATATTTTAAAAAAGTGCATCCCTGTATGTTACAAAAATTAGAATTTGTGAACAGCTCAATAATTCATAAGTTTATAAAAATAGTGATCAAATATCTTGACATTAAGTGTAAATCATAAATTTTTGTTGTCGATTTTGCAATATTGAGCAAAATCATAAATATTTCTTGACGCGTCTAGAAACGCCAACGAAATGACACACACAAGCAATACCTATATTGATGATTTATTGGATATGTCGGATCCTGTAGTTTCATCGGCTACTAGTGAGATTATATCATCCTTCGAAGGATGCAACATTCTTATAACAGGGGGTTCTGGCTTCCTTGGCATACTCTTAATCGAAAAATTATTGCGGTAAGTACTTTTATATAAAAATCTTTAGTGTAATGTAATTAATTTAACAAACATGATATATAATAGTTTCTTAGCATTAGTTATTTGAATCAATCTCTTTTTGTAATAAGTAATATATTATTAAAAACACAAACTCTGTCATATAAAATACTTTTAAGGTGAAAAAATTGTTTAGCGATAAGCCTTTAATAAATTAATATAAGTTGAGTCAACAATAAAATAAAAGTACAGTCATAAATCCTAATAAAAATATTTATCGAAAAATTGATTAAAAACGAATATTTTTAGATGTTGCCCGGATATAGGAAAACTGTATTTATTCATGAGGGTGAAAAAAGGAAAATTGGCGGAACAGCGGTTTGCGGAACATTTCAATGATGTTGTTAGTAATAAACATATTAAAGAACACACATATACAATTTAGATAGAAAAGATTTACACCCCGGCGATTTCTTTAAAATTTTTATTTTTTTTAGGTTTATGATAGACTAAAAAAAGAGCAACCCAATTTTATGACCAAAGTAATAATGATAGAAGCCGATTTGAAAGAGTTAGATCTCGGATTGTCGCCAGAAAATAAAGAACGTCTTTTAGACACAAACATAATTTTCCACGCGGCAGCCACTGTGCGATTTAACGAAACACTTCGAAATGCTGTGAAGATAAACGTGAATGGAACAAAGCAACTTGTTCTCTTTGCGAAAAAATTGTCGAACTTGAAAGTAGGTAAAAAGAACCACTTTAATCGAGCTTCCATTCTTATTAATACAAAAATTTGATTTACGTTGATTATGCAATTATTTCGTTTTTATTTAGGCATTTGTCCATATATCTACTGCATATGCTCATTGCGTAAACGCATTCATTGAAGAAAAATTTTACTCTTCACCTTTAGACGCGGATCAGATATTAACATTAGTGGATAGTTTCGATGATAAAATATTGGATCAAATTACGCCAATGTAAGTGTTCAATTGAAAAAATTACAAAGTCAAAAATCACAAAATCGAATGTTGTTCAACGCGGTTATTTAACATGCATTTTCTTATATAAATATTATACAGTATTTTCTATCAACGCACAATTTTCATCAAATGCACAATTTCATCTAATTATTATTCGTTCATTTCTGTTTTGCTCTTTTGCATCAAACAAGCTATTCCGCAGTTAATTTTTATACTTTCACCTTTAACATATTACTTATACCTTCTTTATGTTTGCATACATACAATTTGTTGCAAAATTTGGATGTTAAGTAATAATAATAGAATATATTCTATATTTTTTATTGGAGATGCTTAATTTAATTTTGCTGCAATTTCTTGAAATGAGCAAGAGTGCAATACTTTATTCGGTGCCTTCTTCAATTTTAATTTATGACATTTATATATAAGTGTAATAAATATGTATTCCTATAAAATCTTCAGTTTCAAATATTACATTAAGCAGACATAGATTAATAGGTAAATGGCCGAATACATATGTGTTTACGAAAGCGATCGCTGAAGACATAGTGAGACAATGTAGCGCCGAGATTCCGATTTGCATTGTACGTCCAGCGATTATAACGTCAACGGCCAACGAACCATTGACTGGATGGATCAACAACATATATGGAGCAGTGGGTGTAGTGATGGGCAGTGGCATAGGTTTATTACGTACCTTACATTGTAATCCCGACATTATAGCAGATATCGTACCTGCAGATTACGTTGTTTGTAATGCCATCGCCGCGGCTTGGGACACTGCCAAAACAAAGTAAGCTTATGTTTATCAAAGTATATATATATAAATATATATATATATATATTTATATATATATTCTCTCTCTCTCTCTCTCTCTCTCTCTCTCTCTCTCTCTCTCTCTCTCTTTCTTTCTTATCAAATATGTTACGTTTATTCGGTTGCAATTCTTTTCTCATTATCACATTTTATTATGACGTTTATTTTAATTTATCGATATTAATCGATATTTTTTACAGTTGATTTTGAAATGTCGTATAAAAAAGATATTATTATATTGGTATTTTAAAATATATAAATTTATAAAAATATATAAAATGTCTTAAACTTTTTTCTCTCATTTTCTTTCCATGTTTTCTAAAATTTGTATCGATTTTTCTTTAGCGGGAATATCAAAACATTGATAAGTTTTTAACTATGAAGCATTTAAAATCTATACCTATACAAATACAAATAAAATATTGCATGCAGTGTCTTAGTCTGAAAATCTTTTATCTTTCTGTATAAGATTGGAATTCTTTAACAATATGTATGCAATAATACATAAGTTTTTAATTATTGTTTTTAATTAACATTTATCACTTTCTTTCAGAGATACTCTACTGAGTACCGAGACTGAAAATTCGAAGAGTCCGGAAACAAAGAGATTATCGGTTTTCAATTACATATCATCGCGTCAAAATCCAATCACCTGGAGAAGATTCATGAAATTGAACGAGACCTATGGCTTACAGGTTCCAACCACGAATGTGCTTTGGTATTATATGCTCTTTTTAAACAAATATCTACTCGTGCACTATATTTGTGTGATATTCTTGCACATGATACCTGCCGCTATAGTAGATACTTTATTCTTCCTCACTGGCCGAAAACCCATGTAAGAAATTCATCGATTTTATTTGAAATGTAATAAATAATTCTCATAAAATTCTTTACAACATTCAACGAAGACAAGTTGCCAATTTTCAGATTGTGGAAGGCTTATAAGAAGATAAACTTATTTGGTTCCATATTATCGTATTTCACTACGCAACAGTGGCAATTTAACAATGACGCCGTTTTAGAATTATGGAACCGTATGAATCCGACTGATCGTGAGATTTTTTATTTTAACATAGAGGACATAGACTGGGAGATATATTTGAAGAATATGATACCTGGTATGCGCTTATACTTAGCTCACGAATCGCTCGACACTATGGACGTAGCCAAAGCAAGATACAGAAAGTAGGTATTAAGTCTGCATGAATATGTATTACCACTCTTTCTGGTATAATGTACTTACAATGAGTTTCTTCTTTTTCAGACTAAAGGTTGCCCATTATACATTATTAACGATTTCTGCGATTCTGTTGACATGGGGCTTCGTAAGATTAATAATGTATATAATGTCATTTTTCTGATTTTGTAGAACTTTGCTAAATTTTGCAAATTTTGCAATTTTATAATAATAAAAATAAATTACTATAATGAAAAAATAATGTAATATTTAATGATGGAATAAGTGGGAATAAAAATGTTTGCTTTGATGTATTGTTTATAATGTCTACCTTAGATGTTCTCCTAAATAATTTAGTCCATCATAAAATTTTTTTAACTTAAATGCATTTACAGTTGCATTTTTGATTCTCAGCTATGATGAAAAGCAGCAAAGTATTTCCAAAACGTCTTTCTGTTTTTTTTTTATCATAATTAAGATTAAAGAATGGAATTGTATGAACACATTTAATAAGTTAAAAAAGTTTTATGATGTGAATTATTTATTATTTATTACTATGTGTAACATACTATATGTGTAACATATTATATTATATATAAATAAAGAAAGTAATGAGAGACAGAAACAGAAAGAAAGAGAAACTATGCAATTGTCTTATTATATTATTTTATTAATATTATAATGGTAGTTTTCCACCAATGAGACACAAATAGACACAGTGTCAGGCACAAAACAGTTGTGTGAAGCCGCTTGTTGGAACATTATAATTCTTAGTACAGCCATAGTTGGCGTTCTATAGTAAATTTTTTCTTGAAATTTTACTCATATGTATATGTACATCTGCTTTAATTGCATAGTAAGTATAATTTACAAAAATAAATTTTGAACTTTGCAATTTTCATAAAATAATATAGTACATAAAATAATATAGTACATAAAATATAACCTCTATTACTTTTTTATTTTGTAAAAAACTAAATTAAATATTCTAATTTTTTAGATGAATAACGATAATAGATTAATTTACAACAATTTGCATGTTTTTGCCTTTATTACTTACATACATGGTGTTTCAACTTTTACAACTTGAAATTTCCCTAAGTTTGTCAAATAATTGGCAGCCATGAATTGAACACAAATCACCTCGACTCTTTAGCTGCACTCAAAAAAATGATCTTGCAATAATAGCTAAAATTTTCTAGGTGTAAAAAATTAACTAAAACAGATAAATGATTAGCAACTGTTGTGATATTGCATATGTAATTACTTAATCAGTTTAGATGACAGAAACAGAATATATATCTGTATTGTTTGTGAACTTTAAAAAGAAAGTTTCTCTAAAGCGCCTATCTATGGGCTTGTTCGTTTTAGCTACACTGGGGCTGCTCTGGGTCTGCTCTACACAGGATAATACAGAACAGATAAATAGTTTGTCCTGTATTATCTTGTTTAGAGCAGACCCAGAGCTGCCCCAGTGCAGCTAAAACGAACAAGCCCTATATAAGATCAATCACGTGTTAGATCATGCAATGAATAACATTTAGCAATGGTACCTAAATTTTTCAGAAGCTATTGCTAGAACATTACTGCTATAAATTCTATATGTGACAAACAATATTTTCACAGATACGAAAAATAGCGATACATTCTTGTTGCGATATCTAGAAATCTAACTACATCAGCGAAATATTTTTTTGAGTGTGTGTATATTTGTGTCGAGCTGTGTCGTTGTAGGAAAACATTGTGTCAAACACTGTGTCATTTTGTGTCGCTTGTGTCTCTTGGTGGAAAACTACCAATATATAGCACATTCGTACGCGTTCATACTTAATTATTTCTCTAATTACTCGTAATAGAGATATATTTTTTATAATTAAATTTATAAATTATTATATAAAATATCAATTAAATATATCGATTAAATATATTTATTTAAAAAATTATAGCTAATTTGAAAATAATTTTGAAGAATAAATATTATAAAATTCAAATTTGGATTATTATATGTAATGTAGCTTAAAATAGAATAACTTTAAAAAATATTTTTTAACATAACTGCTTTATTCTAAAATTATTCTGCATAAATAATTTTCTCCTTTTTTTTATTTAAATATTTCGATTTGTAGCTTTTGTTGCGAGACGTTTTTTGTATAGGCAGTAACTGACGTAAGAAGAATCAAAGGTTAGAATCTCATTGACCCCCAAAAATACTATGCTGTTATTACCATTGAATCTCACAATTTGCGTTATAAAGAATTTCTTGTAAACATTTTTAAGCTACAAATTTATAAAAAATTATTATGGTAAGTTACAATAAAACAGTATTTTTGTAACATAATATTTTACAAAAAAATAAGTAATATTTAAATTATATTAAAATAAAAATTATTTATACGCGTATTTATATTTTTCTGCTCATAAAGTAAGTTTTTAAAATATTTAAAAAATTATATTATATTAATAGTTGTGTTAAAAAATGAATATAATAATATAGTTTCAATTTTAAAATAGACATAAATAGCTGTATTTAGAATGCTAAACGTCCCAAGCAATACGTCAGAATGGTCATTCTCAGACTTTTTTCTAAAATATATAATTACATTTAGCACTCAGATAGTATTAAAAAAATAATATAATTCTAGAATTAAAGTTTTGCAAGCTGCTTTTTCAGAATACTTTATTCGCTATTTAGCAAAGTATTTGTGTGACAATAATACATACACAGATATTTAAGATTATCAAAGTAATATATAAACTGATATAAACGCGTAACGTATATTATTTAATTATAATTATATATTGAATGATGATTATAGCAAAATATAGCAAATTATAACAATTATTGCTAAATAATATTACACAAATATACCTGTCGTCGATGAATTACCAGTGATGTCAGAAATGCTAGGAAAGATTTTTAGATTAGACCTGTATATTTAGTTGATTTCATCAAAAAATAAATTGGCTCCGTCAATAACAAAATTTAAAAAATAATTAAGAAGTATGAATATACAAAATATTATAATTGTATTATATTCAAAATTATTAATATATTGATATATAATTATAAAATATTGTACAAAATATGCTAATATGATATTTTACAAAATGTGCTATTGTTCTTCTATATCACAGAGATATAATAATTTTACTAATTATTGTTTTCCTTTTACAGATAATACCAAAAAGAAGCCTACAATATGGTAAAATACCAACAACTATAAGGAATGATACAATGCGCCAAAAATCTCGTTGAAAGTTTTAACAGGTAATATTCTATTTTATATCCATAAAACTATGAAGTGATAAAATAGTTTAATTATTTATTGATAATTAGATGGATGTAATATTTACTGTTTTATGGACCGTTGTAATGCAGATATCTTTCTCGCTATGATCCACCAGCTAAGCGACATTATATAAGAATCATGTAACCGTTTCAGTAGATAGATGGAAGCATAGGAGTAACTCGCTCTTCGTATCATAATATCTTTTGCAGAAAATCTCTTTTCATAACTTTTTTTTCTGCAATATATTTCTATAATATTTCATAACATTATTTTATAAATAACATTCGTTCATACCATTTTTTGAAAGCAATCGAATGCTTATTATAATTATGCAAGTAGTAAATTATATTTTTTTTACGTATAGTACTATATTATTTTTATTAGAACTTATATATAAATAGAAATTTGAACTAGAAAAATAGATGTACACAAAATAGCACTTAAATTTTAGATTGGCTGTTTTTTTGTTAATCAATTTTTATCACGGTGATAAATTTACATGTTTATTGTCACCATAATAATCTAGTAGTAGATAATTAAAAAAGACATATGCAGGAAAAGATTATTAAGATATACACAGGTGAAAACAAATACTATTAAATTATATTTGCTTAGCACATATATTATTCAAAAAATATTACATTTTTAAAAACGAGAAGCGCATCGATTCGATGGTCAAAGAAAATCCCACATTCAATCGCAGGAAGTCACGAGTGCATACTTAAGAGAGCCCTTAAAATTCTCACGAATCGTTATCGTGTCGTTTAACATTGGCACATTACGCGAGTCGCACGTTTACGATAATTTCAGTACCAGTCGACACGCTCTCGTCTTGTACACGCTACATTTCAAACAACAAGGTGGAATTCGCGATTATGATTGCGCAAAAATTCGCTCACTTACCTGTTATATTCGGTCCACCCACGAGTCGGTGTGTCACGATCCCACATGCGAATGTACATCACTCCGGGCGATTCGCGTATAATACCGCACTTCGCACGACAACCGTTGGTTTATGGGCATTCTCACGCAGCTAATGGATTCACGCTGCGCTGCGGGAACGTTATTCTGCAACATAGAAATGTTGGGTCCATTGGCGTTGTGTATTCTTGGACCAAAATCTACCCCTGCTAAACATTTTTTTTTTATGAACTTGATCGATTAATTAATGTTTACTAAATCTTTACATCTTCCAAAATATGTATTTTCTTTATAATTAGCATTTGATCATTTTTATTACATATTTGGTTAATTTTGCGTAAAATACTAGTTTGACATTTAATTGTTACACTTAATTGAAATTAAGGAACACTTTTATCGATTAAAATAATTTTTATTTAAGTAATAAATTAATTCAAGTCTGTGAATAACTGTTATATACATAGTTAAATTATGTACTCTAGGCCAAATTTTTAAGCAGATATGTATATATATGAATTTTATTAGAATATATAGAAAGGACCATAATAATTATAAGCAAAAGTAATGCACATTCATAACGGTGACTTAATATCGTGAATTGCATCGTGATACAAAGAGGATTGTCTGATGCATCTTTATGTAAGCAAGCGGGAAAGAATTCAGGCCGCGCAATGATTAACAATACATATCTCGCGCGAGAGAGCACGAGAGGAACGGAACGCAATGGATCGGTCATACTTTTAGTTTCTCGGAACGGCAATTATCGGAGATAGTTTCCTAAAGGATTTTTCGGATTGAGAGGGAGATACAATTCGCACGTGGGCGTCTTTGTCTTCGGCTGGCAACGGCGCGGCGCCCGGTTCTCAAAGGCGTGGCTATTGATTTGTCTACATCTCGGTCACATACTGTACAAAAAAAGTGCCAGATTGATCCCACTTTGAAATACTCGAATAGTAACACCCACATCCGCGGCCTGCGGCCATTCATCGGCAGATTCTCTCTGTGAACGACGATTCTCTCTTCCGCGCTCGAGCTCGTGTTGCTTTGAATGATCATTCTTATGTTTTGCGCGATATTTATCACACGTATGGCAAGTTTGCCAATGTCAATTCACGTGAATCACAATTAATAGCTTTTTTTCTTTTCTTCATTTTCATGTTATACCTAGAGACAGCAACATCGAAATTATGGCTTAAGAAAATTAATCCTTTCGCTCTCTCTCTTCTCTCTCTTTCGTTAGTTATATTTAAATATTTCTTGATTTATAATATACAAACGTATATTTTTAGATTATTCGGTTTAATGTAGTGTATTATCCTTCACACAATTTTTCACAAAGCAAAAGGATAAGAAAAATTATGTCATTGCACGCCATCGCAATTGCTTAGTTTCTGTAAATCGTTAACGGCAGATGGGCAGCGAATCAACACGATCCGCGTTTGAAAGCTATTTTAATTGAAAAGTTTAGACCTCCTACAAGTTCATGAATTCACGCTGCGAACTTTTACAGAATGGATGCCACAATAAATAAAACCATAGTAACACTCTTGTAAAGATGCCGCAATGCGTCTAAATCCCTGTTAGATGTGAATATAACTTTATGCTTTTCATTAGAGAAAAATAGGCCGTTTTTAAAAATCAATTTGAATTATCTTTTGAATTGTTTATGATCCTATTTATAGCAATTGCGCATAAAAATTTGTAATTTTTATTTCTATTAAATGTTATAATAATCAATGCGTTTCTAAAAATTTTATATTATCAATTTTATATTCGACATAAAATAATGAGTCGCTCTGCGGTACAATTTCTAATCTGTAATTTAAATTTACTTTACTGTTCATCATATGACTTTGAAATTTGTATCCGAAATAGAGCACATAGCGAAAACTTTCAATAGCTCAATGCAGAAACTAAAAAAAGTTGCGAGAAAGTTGCATGTGAAACTACGAATAAAAAAATCTATATTACACGCAAAAGGAAAGGTACTCCTTCATTTCGCTTTTGAAGTAATACTCGATTTGTAATCGATTAATCATCGTTTAATAGTTTTTTCTTTGAAAAATCGATTACTTCCGTACTCTTAAACTTGGTTTTTGTTTCAATTTTCATCATAAATTTTATTATTAAACTTTTTTTCCTACAATGAATCATATTAATACAAGAAATTATTGGCAATTATTGTCATTATTATCAGTAATTACCATTCATAAAATATAAATTTAATTGTTATGCATATAAATATGTATATTTTTATCTCACATTTTGCAAAAATGTGTAACGTGTGTAAATTTTTATTTATATTGTGCTATAAATAGGTTTATATATTTATATTGTATCATAGATAGGAAAGTTTAGATTGATCCAGGTTATGCTAATAGATTGAGTATGAGCACTGACAAAAAAAGTTAACTGATCCTCTCTCTTCTCTAAGTTCTTAAAAAGTAATTGATTCCGACAAATATTTTTTCTAATCAGTCTTTTAACCTCCATTCTTTTATTGATTGAGCCGATCCGTCATCACGGTACGTGCGATACGGGCGAGCGGTGATTCCGGTCGGCGCGGAGGCCGCGAGTGAACGAAGGAGCTAGCTAGCCAGCCAAGCAGGCAGGCAGCCGCCGGAGTCGAGGATGGAGAACCAACCGACGACTCGAGAAGGCAGTGCACGCCCGGCTGCCGACACGAGCGGATGGTGTATGTTGTTGCTCGTGCCACCATCACGTTCGCCTCGTGATTTTCCTTCCTGTTACGCTTGGCCGTCGCTCATCGTTCAAGTTGTGTGACGAGTCGCGCTTAGGTGCTTATCAGTTTACGACGGTACTACGCTGTTTTTCATCTCTTCTTTCTATTATTCTCTCTCAATCTATTCTCTTTTTTCTATCAATTTCCTCTCTCACGTCCTCGCTCCGCCGGTTTCACCGCGAATCAACGCTTAAAAAGAACAAAAAAAGACAGAAAGAAATCAAACTGCGTGAGAGATCTTTAAAATTTACATGTTATTTTCTCAAAAATTTATGGACATTCAACATGCGTTGTGCGTACGAATGAGACTACTACACGATTACCTTGGTGCCGCACAAGCGCGATATATATACTGAAAAATTGAATAGCGGGCATATACGTGGACATAAATTTACATTCAGTGTGTGCACAGTAGCGAGCAAAGCTAGCCTACGAAATGAATCGCCGCGTGTGCAATCCCGGAATTGATGGAACAGCCGGAGCTAACCACTGACGGTTACTATAGTAGCGCGCGTGGCGATCAGCTGATCGTTCGGGGCCGAGAGCGCCCGCGCAACCATCCGTCGGTCGGCGGCAGTCGGCCACCAGCGGCTGCGTCCGCACGTCGTCGTTCTCGTTCGCGTGTCATCGTTGCACGTCGTCGCACATCGTCACCCGTCTCCTACTCGTGTCTCAGTTCGTGCCGTTCGTGTATCCGCCGAAGCAGTACGGGCGCGCAGACGACAATCAGAGGACGTTTCGCGATGTGCGTGTACCGTCGGCTCGAACGCGCGCGTGTCCCGTCATGCCGTCGTGCCGGCAACTCGCGATAAACAACTTTCTGCACGCGAACGATCGTCGGCGAGTCGAGTCGCCGGCGACGAGATGATCCGTCGGCGATCAGTGGTGTTGTCGAACGCGTCGGCGTGAACGTCGTTGTAGGAGGTTGCGCGACAGCATTGAGTGTGGAACGGTTTGCGGCATATTCACGCATCACGTCTCCCGGAAGAGAACATTGCCGCTGACGGGAACAGTGTCGACGACATCGTTGGAGCATCGTTTGCGACCGATCGGGTATCTCGCTCATGAACGGATTATGCCATATTCGCGGATTTCGCCGGATTTCGCGATATTCGAAGTGACTTTACAATCACGCGTGATTCGCTGACTCGCCGATCAGCAACAAGAGCTGTGAATGTCAATAAGTGCGTCGTGTAGGAGCAATGTGACCCGAGGCGCAAAGCAATGCTGAGCGTGTGAGTATTTTGTTTCGCAGTGACGAATATCTCGTTGTTGTGTTTAAAACAATACGAAAGGAGCGCGTACGGTGCTTGTCAAGCGCCATCTTTCAGTTGTAAATCAGCGGGTAACCGCCGTTTGAAAATTTTCAAACGGCAAGGTGTTAAGTTGCGCTCGTTGTGAGATTTTCGGCGGACAGTTTTGCCAATCGCTCGGCAGTTTGGAACACTGTTCGAACCGCGCTCGGGCCGAGAAATTCGCAGAAGCGCGAACTAACGTATCGTCGTTCGATCGCGAGTGGAATCACATACTATATTTGACAATCGTGTTCATTGTGCCTCGTGCGACTTTCGGGAAAGATTCTCGGACTCGCAGTGATCGTGTGGTTTTTGTTCGTAGTGCGCTGGACGATTGCGGAAAAGTGAGAAGCCTGTGATAGACGCCGCTCGGATTAAACGATGAGGTTATATAGCAGTTTCCGAAAGAGTCTCGATACGAAACTTTGGTGAGTAATATACACAAATATAAACATGAATGGTACTCCGTTCTGTTATTTATAAGGAACGAAATAATCCCTGTGGACAGTACATTTAACTTGTATATTTTTAACTCTAGTTTTATCACCTTTTTTTGCACTTTTTTTGTTTCCATATTTCCAACATAACCTGCGTGAAATGAGAATAACATGCATATGATAAGCTTATGATTTGAAAAGTCGAGAAATATGGAATTATGAATGTGCAAAGTTAACTCTGTTTTTGTTACTCATAAACAAGGCGCGACGCAAACATTTCCCTAATATACATATAAAATTAAACTTAACAAAAAGTGAGAATATTTCCACTTTTCTTTCCGATGTTCTTTTGCAAAATATGGAGTCGATTTTAATTATAGTGAAGCCCTAATTGTAGAGCTACAAATTATTCAAAATAAAATTCTTTCTTTCTTGTAGTTTGAATTTTACAAACGTGAATAAATAATGAAGATTTATCCCGATCAACTTAAAATTGATTTTATTTCAACGGTATTTTTCTTTGTGGCTTGGATACTATGATGTCTGTTTTCTAACAGGTATTTTCTCTAACAGAAAATCGACTTCAAATTTCACGAGAAACGCTATGCATTCATATAACCGTCAGTGAGACGTGGTGCACATTTTTTCGAAGCATAGTTTTGTTTCACTGTGGATTTATTGCTTGACTATTTACGATTATGCAAATCCGGCTTTCTTGATACTACCGCGGATCGGGGCTTCCGTACTCGGGTAAGTTACGAACTAACCCATCGGCATCGAGAGTACGAGCTCGGTCAGTCGTGGAGTCGACGAACCTCTATCGATCTTTACCTTTACGTTCATTCTCCCCTATTCGTTTGTCGGGTAGGAATGCAACTTACTCGTCTTCGTCGTCGTTGCTTGTCAAGTTTTGCGTTTTGAATGATCTGTTCCGGGAACGAAGCGTTTGTCTGTTTGTATACATTCTCGGTTGCGTCGCGCTTGTTATGAGTTACGAACTTTAACGCAACCAAGGTGATTCCTGCCATCCTTAGCATAACGAGTATGAAAACTCGTAGCTATATTTGGGAAAAGAATATTTGTGGCGATAAATAAGGACATTCATTAAAATCATTTTTAATATTATTATTATTTCATATTAGTATTATTGTTATTGACATTTGACTATATTTTGAGGAAAAGAGAAAGAGAAAGAGAGAGAGAGAGAAAGAGAGAAGGAAAATTCACGGAGGTCGCGATAAGTGGAGCAAAAGCCGGCGTATTAAATGGATATTGATAACTGTCGTATGTCACTAATAGTGTGATAAACGAACTCTGTCCATATAATGCAAGTACATTCATACGCGATAACCAGTTAACAATGTGCGACCATAATAATTATCTTCCGCCACAAAACGTCGATATATTTTATCTGTTGTATTGTCATAATTGGTCTTTCTTCTCTTTATCGTGCTGAGTGGACACTCGAGTGCACAGATTTCGATATAGATTCCGGATGACATAAATTTCCGACGATTGCGATCGAAGATCATTTCTAACTTTGTGTGTATCAAGATTCGTTATACAAATCTGCTACCGTGAGAGTAAAGATACTTTGAAGTGGACACTCAACCGTGAATGTGTTGCATTAATGTGTGTATTAATTTGTCGGAACGATCAGCGAGCGATAAAAGCGCAATGATTGTGCAGACACAGTTTTCAATGCGAGTTTATCGCGATCGAGCAACGTATTAATAACTTACACAGATCGTAATTGAAAGCTTGAGAATCAGGAATAATTATCAAATATACCGTATCTTACAAAAGGGTGTGACTCTTATTCTATATGATATTCGTTTGTTTTGCATTTATTTAACACATATAAATAGATGAGAGATACGGAATCGGGAATGTATCATGATATTGAATAATATTGAGTTTATCATTTGCTGCATCTCTGAATAGTAATATAAAATGCTGCATAGACATTAAAAATACCATTTTATTCAAGCTGCTGTTTTAAAAGATAGAAGATGAAATTATAATAAGCAATTATCAGTTTTTAGCGAAACATTGATACTTTTAGAGAAGTAATGCCAAAATTCATGCATACATTCAAAAATTTCGTCATTAGTGTGATAAAGATTCAACTGTTGCGAGGATAGTTTGCACAAAGACGTGAACTTTCTACATACGTTCATGTATACGCATAGAGCGGTCTTAATTTGCGGTCGTATGTTCCTAATTCGGTTTACTTGCAGCGATGCAACCCGTCGAATAACGTTTCCTCACAGTTGCGCCGCAAGCGACGGGTGGGAGGAAAGGAGGGAAACGCGATGTTATTAGTCGCTCGTAGTTATTTCATTTGCGACTCTCGGCGGTTGGGTATACGCGGCTTCGGGTATAATTGTCAGGTTTACGAGGGGCTCGCCACCGTTGTCTTTGCGACAAAGCGAGGTCGAAGCGTGTCCGGAAAGTTATAGCCCACGAGAAGTACTGTTAATCGCGCCTAACGTGAGAGTCCCGTGGCACCGGGCGTATCATTTAATCTTCTCTCTTTCGCTGTCTTCTCCTCTCTCTCTTCTTTCTCATCAAGGATCGGTGCGATATCGACGGCGCGCGTCGCTTCCATATCTTACTGAGATAACGCATCTGGTCCTCCCAGCGCATACTATTATTTTTTTTCTTCCATTAACTCCGCTGCTTCTTAAGCTTCTTTCTCGGATTGTGATTTTAAGTGACCGATATCGCGAATCTTAATGATCTCGGTTTCGACTTTATGTTACCCATTATATGTGAAACTTTGTTTCCTTCCTAAGAATTTTAAATTCAGTTAATTACCACACAATGTTGGATTTTGACAATCTACCTTGACGTTATTCTCGCGTCGTATTAGGTGGATTATACAAATTAAAGTATATGATATTTTTACTTGAAATTCAACATCTGACATAGTTATTATTTATTTTCTGTAAAATGTTTTGTTTTCTGTCAAGTTTTTCTGTAATTAAGAAAGATATTTCGGAACTATTTAATGTTCCTGAAAACATTCATTAACTCGTCACGAAATTTTGATGATCAAAATTGAAATCTTAAATCTATTAAGACATGAATCTTTAATCTATTAAGACATGAATCTTTAATCTAATTAAAACATGAATTTATTTTGTTAATTCAATAGCAAATAATTGAATTAACGTCAGCGTAAAGAACTGTTCCCTTTATAAACGGTTTCGGTAAACTACTTAAATAGTGTAGTTTGACCTAATTGTTATAACTTTTTTGGCCGGAGTTTATGTGGTCTTTTTTTGGATTAGAAACGTGTATGGAATTGCCCGTAAGCTGTTTGCGTAGCTACTAATTAAACAATGGTAGTCTAACATTCAACAACGATGTACTATCGTTTACAATCCTAGAGAAATTTTCTTATCTGTTGAATCTTCCGACTCGTCAGTCCATGATTTCACCACATATTGAACGTTAAACGTACCTATCAGATTCTCAGTTTAAATCGATATGAAATTTGATCTTCATAATAGAAAAAACATTACAAATTGAGTGATTACATTTTTTGCGTATACAATTTTTAACAAAAAAATGTTGAGCAATGTCTTTCAAAATAAGTCCTTGTGCTTCGACAATTAAATTAATTGTTTTAACCTTGAATATCACGTCTTGAATTAAAATGCTAAAATAAAATCCGCTTGAAATTGAATGAGGAATAAGATTTTGTCATTTGCTTGTGTTTGCGAAACTTGGAGACTTTTACAAGAATTGTCAAGCTGTACATTTTCACTCCTTCATAACTCGCAAACTATTGATATCTCGACGTTCCTCTTAAGGAAACGTTGACTGCAAATAGCTCAAATAATCTCTAGACGAAGCTAAAAATCACTCAGTGACACCTTGCACATGACGTCCGATCCTCTTCGATGACACTCGAGTCGCGCGCGTCGTGTTCCACGTCGCGTACTCCTTATTTACCCACACATCGAGTCGGCAAAGCCGTGGAGTGGCTTGCGGAACAGCCGAACGGACAAACAGGTGGCGGCGGTTCTTAACTGTAAAACGTCTTCAATTCCTAGCGAGAAATCGGCCGCACCGCCACTCGAAATGCCATCGGTTCTGATCAGATCTCTCTTTCTTTCTCCGTTTCTCTTTCTCTCTCTTTCCCTCCCGCTCGCAAATATAGCATGAACTTTACCGCGGATGAATACGCGAGCACAGGCGACCGGATGAATTGAATAGGTACGCGTGAAGTAACGAACGGTTGCATAACGTTCGCGCACCCGTTCATTGCAGTGTCGCTCCCGCCGCCGATGAAATCATTTCCGCGATTTCCTGACATTGACTCGTAGGCTCGACTCACATGTGTAAGCTTGTGTCTTGCGCGTATATCAGCCTAATCGGCGCGCGAACGTTCGTTCCTACAACCGGCAGCACAACGGCCAAGATAGGCCGCCGTTGCCTGTCAGATTGTTGACACAGTCAGTGACACGTTTAATAGGATTATTTATGCTCTCGGAGGCGCTTAAGCGGCCCCCGCGTTCGTATCGGCTTCATCTACCTGACGGCGCGTAGCATAATTATGTCGACGCGCGCGCGGTTTGCTTATATCTCGGCTGCTGGCCGCATCGGCGACGCCTAGACCCTGATCCCTGATCCCGTCCTCGAGGTAGGATTTCTCGACGTACACATTTCACCGTGATCTTTACGTTTCAATGTGTTCGACATGATTCGATGTAGGAAATATTAATCCGTTGACGGTTGCGTCAAGATTTGGCACATCGACAAGCATAATGGAGTGTGTTGACAATATCTCATTTTGTATTCTACAAACATCAATTTCCTTAAAACATGTCATGTTCAGCTTATATTTATCTGATGTTAAAAATCTCTAGTTTGAGTATTTAATTGCTACAAGAATTTTATTAGCAAATAACGGGTTAACAAGTACAATGATGATTGAATGTTATAAATATCAAACGGCCTGAATATTAAGAAAGATATTA